TTAACTAACCTCCAGAGCAACCTGGTGCATTAGACAGTGCCTTCATTTTTTAAAATCTGTTGAAAAGATGCTGTGATGGATAGCTCAGAGGTTGGGAGCTCAATTTTGCACTGTGCTGCTTTGATAGCGGTTGGACTCCCTGATCCATAGGGTCCCTTCCAGCTCTGCAGTTCTTAGATGATTATTCTTATTCTTCAATAAGGCAAGGCAGTCTTTGACTGGTCTTATATAAAAGATACAAGTTTTAACCAAAAACGTAAGTATCTGTTAAATATTTTGTGTGTGTATGTGTTCTCTGCTGACAAGTCAGAGCCAAATTATAGAGGCCCTAACAGGGTTTTCAAGGGAAGTGAAATATTTAAGGAGTGGCTTACCAGTTGGGATGTGGTGGCGTTGCGGGTTAAACCGCAGAAGCCTCTGTGCTGCAGGGTCAGAAAACCAGCAGTCGTAAGATCGAATCCATGCAACGGAGTGAGCTCCCATCGCTTGTCCCAGCTCCTGCCAACCTAGCAGTTCGAAAGCATGTAAATGTGAGTAGATAAATAGGTACCACCTCGGCGGGAAGGTAGCAGCGTTCCGTGTCTAGTTGCACTGGCCATGTGACCACGGAAACTGTCTTCGGACAAAACGCTGGCTCTACGGCTTGGAGACAGGGATGAGCACCGTGCCCTAGAGACGGACGCGGGGGACTAAATGTCAAGGAGAACCTTTACCATTACCTTACCAGTTCCACTCCCTCAGTGAGGGATTTGAATCCTGGTCTCCAGAGTCTTAGTCCATCACTCTATCCACTACACCACTCTGGAAATCCTAATGCAGTTCTTAATATTGCCCGCCCAAAAGTTGCAGTTCTGATGGTGTTATTTCAGAGAGTTCCAGCTTATTACAATACTTTATAACATTCTATGGCATTGTTCCCAGTGCCCCAATGACTTTGGGAACCACTGAAATGTATTGCGTCCAGAAGTTAATTATTTCTATTCTGACTCTGTATTTTGTTAATTTTTCCAATTCTTTATCTTCAACTCTGGCATCCCTTAGAATTTCAGTGTCAATTACCTCACCTTTCTTCATTCTGTCACTGTGGTGGATTATGCTGAAAGTGTTTATCTGTTTGGAGCTGAAAGTCCCACAAGATCTTAACTTGATCTTTTTCTGATACCTTCTCTACCTGGTGTTTCCATGGATTCATGGATATTGGCAGATTACATTTTTTTACGTAACAACCAGTATATTAATTTTGCAACTCTGTTGCATCTAGCTTTGTAGTTCGTGTGTGCAGTCTTTTTCACAGATGAGGTATGACACAGTTTATTCTTTTTCTTGGCAGATTCAACATTTGCTGCTTACAATAATTCCTTGAATTTTTGCTTTCATGACATTAGTTTGGAGTGCTTGTTCTTGCGTAGAAATATCAATATTAGTAGTAGTAGTACCATATTTCCCCGAAAATAAGACAGGGTCTTATATGAATTTTTGCTCCAAAAACATTTATTGCAGCAATAAATGTTTTATTGCTTTTTCATGTACAACAATCTACATTTATTCAAATACAGTCATATCATCATCTTTTGGTTGCTACACAATCCTGCACAAAGGTGGAGGGCAGGGTTTCACTTAACAGGGGCTTATTTTTGGAGTAGGGCTTATATTATAACCATCCTGAAAAATCGTACTAGTGCTTATTTTCAGGATAGGTCTTATTTTGGCGAAACAGGGTAGTAGTAGTAGAAGTAGTAGTAGTAGTAGTAGTAGTATAACTTTAATCTATATGGTTATTTCACATGGTCATATATCAGCAGCAGCAGCAGCAGCAGCAGTAGTATAACTTTAAACTATATGGTTATTTCACATGGTCATATATTACCTGCTCACCTATGGTGAGCAAAATATGTCCTTCTGGTGATCAGGCAAATATATTTTTGTAAAAAGAAAGACTTAGTTCTTATTATCCCTGCCCAGTCTTTCAAGCTGTTGGAAAAACATATTGCTATAGTTAAGACTTATTTTCCCAGGGTTACTCAGAAGACTGGTGTTGCATGTTATGTTCCTCATCAAAACTAGGATGTATTGTGGGTGGGTTTGTTTGGAGTTGAAGTTCATCTGCTACATTTGATACTTAGGAAGGGATGTTTTTCTCAAATGAGACTGACATGGAATGGCCACAGACAGCCTTACCCTGCAGCTTCTATAAAATAGAAGAGTATATATTTTCTCTGTCCAGAGTAAGTTGTTGTTCCAAGGGAACAACTTTACAGGTTATGTGCATTAGGTGATCTTTTCAGTTTCAATCAATGCTATGATGATGCTTGGAATTCCCAGTGTAGTGCAGTGGATAGAGTGACGAACTAAGACTCTGTAGACCAAAGTTTGAATCCCCACCTGACTATGAAAACTCAGTGGGGGAGTCGAACACACACACACACACACACACACACACACACACACAAATGCTGCTTAGTTTTTAAGTTGGGTGCAAATGTGCAGTTCTTGAATACTTATAAAATGTTCATCAAATTTAAGGTGTATTTGTTCAAGCTAATACACAGGTACTATAGGCTGCAACCTCAGATTGTCTGCAAATAAATATTCACTGAATCCTGTTGACTCTGCTTGAGAAATGTAACCAGTTCTTCTTTCGAGCAGTAATGGCTAGCATATTTTGAGGCTGGCTCTAGCAAACCACCTCAGAATGATCATTTTAGTAGAAAAGGAAGCCAGCTTAGGCCATGGTTTGGCCTAAGATGGCCACATAGCTCCACCTTATCACTCTGAGTAACAACAACTCTACATGATTTTCTACAAGATTCATCACTTGTAGATGAATTCAACTTGCCAGCCTCAAATCAGATTGCATGTGCCAGCGTGGCAGCTTCCAAAGTTGTGGTTTCATGTGCACAAATATTGAACAGGATGCTGGCCTATACATTTAGGAAACTGCATGATGAGAGGCTTCGTCGCTGTTTGTAACACTGCTCTTACAAAAGAATCACAATAAAATGTCTTCCCTCTTTGTAAAAACAAAACAGAAAACCTCTGGTTCACCAGGATACAGACATACAAACTTTATGCAGGGCATTTTTGGCATGTGGGAGCATGCACACATGTAATTTACACACTTGCGTCCAAGAAGAAGAAGAAGATATGAAAGCTAATTAATGCTGACAACAAATGATGACTCTGCCAAGAAAAAGATGAAACTGGGTCACATCTCATCTGTGACTATCCAAAGACGGCACAAACAGATTACAAAGTTAGACATGATAGAATGGCAAAATAATGCGCTTGTCATTTTGCAAAATTTGCCAGCATCCAAAAACCCATGGGACTATCAGGTAGATGTCAGGAAATGACAAAGTCAAAATCTTGTGGGATTTCCAGATCCTAACTAATAGACACATTGAATATAACACACCAGACACAGTAGTAATAGAACAAAGAAATGTCTGGATCATTGGCATTGCAATTCCAGGGGATGCCAGAGCTGAAAATAAAGAATTGGAAAAACTAACAAAGTACAGAGACTTGGCCATCAAAACATCTTGCCTTTGGAACACTTCACAGTGGTCCCCGTAGTAATAGGGGCTTTGGGAACAGTATGTCACACAGTATTATAAGCAGTTGCAGATTTTAGAAATAACATCATCAGAACTAAAAAAACCAAACATTGCAATTCCAGGGGATGCCAGAGCTGAAAATAAAGAATTGGAAAAACTAACAAAGTACAGAGACTTGGCCATCAAAACATCTTGCCTTTGGAACACTTCACAGTGGTCCCCGTAGTAAGAGGGGCTTTGGGAACAATATGTCACACAGTATTATAAGCAGTTGCAGAACTAAAAAAAACAAACAGTAATATTAGGAACAGTATATATACTACATCGATATTTAAGAGATACTTAGGTTTTTGGTTAAAACTTGTATCTGTTATGAAATTCCAAAGTTTTTATAATTTTGATTGGCCGTGTCTGGTATTTTTGTATAATAATAATAGGTCATCAAGTCAGTTCTGAATTGTAGCAACCCTTTTCAGGGTTTTCTAAGTGGAGAGTACTCAGAGAAGTGTTTCAGCATTCCCTTTTTCTGGGGGCATTCTGGGACAGTGCAGCTTGCCCAAGGCTAATCAGGCTGACTTTTCATCTTGGAGGCACAATGGGGGAATAAACTCACAATCTCTGGCATCTAAACCACTGAGCTACCCAAGCAACTAAATAAACAATGTAATTCAGCATCCATTGCATATATAATGTAGTTGAGCTCTATTTCATTAGTCTTCTGTTCATTTTTTTTATGTTTTGCTATATTTTGGCAGGTTTTTGTGATATAATATGTTAGACATTTGTACCTGGTTATTTTAGTTGTGTGCTTTTTAAAGAGATACGTGTGAGCAAAGAAGGCATTTGTGCTCCAGTTCCTGCTGGACTGCAACTCCGACAAGAGCAGCCAATGGCCAAGCCGTGAGTTACAGGCCAACAACATCTGAAAGGCTAAGCATTTTCCAGCCCTGATGTATATAGACTCTTGGCAACTCTCCATTCCTAGGAGGAAGGCCAAAGTGTTATTATAAAGATGATCAATAATTGACAAAAGTTAAGTCAGTTTCAGTATCATAGATCCCCTGAATCATCTCCTCAAGGGTAAGTCAAGATTTATGTAAACCCCATTGATTCAATGTGCGTCTTCTAGATGAGACCAGTAATTGGAGTTAGAGTAATAGTAACAATCATAACAACATGATTTGATTGGGCCTGAGGTATGTAGAACTGTGCTGGATGTGGAATTCCACATGTGAAATTGTGCTCCATTTAAGGTCATACAAATTGGTTAGTATAACTTGATTTTGCTTGGGCTGAATACCTTTAAAAATCATGATTTTGTTGCTATGAATTTAGCTATTGAGGTTTGTCGGTCTGTTTGCATTGATTTTTCACAGCGTTGACGAGAGGAAGGGCTTTGTGTCATCGTCATTCACAGTTTCTGTATTTCTTCCTTGCTTGCAGGTGACTAACCGAGATGGTCGACCACCTGGCTAATACTGAGATTAACAGCCAACGCATTGCTGCTGTGGAAAACTGCTTTGGAACATCTGGCCAGCCGTTGGCGGTGCCAGGAAGAGTCCTCTTGGGGGAAGGGATTTTGACCAAAGAGTGCCGGAAGAAAGCCAAGCCACGGATCTTCTTCCTTTTCAACGACATCCTTGTGTACGGGACCATCGTGATCAACAAAAGGAAGTACAGCTCCCAGCATATCATTCCTCTTCACGAAGTCACCTTGGAAACTTTGCCGGATACTTTGCAAATGAAGAACCGCTGGATGATCAAGACAGCCAAAAAGTCCTTCGTCGTGTCTGCAGCTTCTCTGACAGAGAGGAAAGAGTGGATCAGCCACCTCGAGGAGTGCATCCGCCACTTGTTGTCCAAGACAGGCCAGCAGCCCCCCACGGAACATGCCGCGCCCTGGATCCCGGATAAGGCCACCGACATCTGCATGCGCTGCACGCACACCAAGTTTTCCACTCTCACGCGGAGGCACCATTGCCGGAAATGCGGTTTCGTCGTGTGCGGAGACTGTTCCCGGCAAAGGTTTCTCATGCCTCGGCTGTCCCCAAAGCCCTTGAGGGTTTGCAATCTTTGCTACAGGCAGCTGATGGCAGAAAAAAAGGAAACGGAAGACCGGCCGAAGCCCATTCATTCTCCTCTCGCCGGTTACGATCCTTCCAGCGGAGATGACAGTGACCGATCTGACGAGGATAAACTGGAACAGTGGCCGGCAGAGTCCGAGTTTTACACCTCAAATGTACCTTGGTCGTCTTTCCATAGATGACCTCTGCATGGCTTTTGTGGTTTTAGGGAACATGTTCTTTCTTCCGAGGAGCTTAAAGCAGCGGTCCCCAACCTTTTTCGGACTGCAGACCGGTTGGGAGGGTGTGGGCTCCATGCATGGAGGGGTAGGGGCACCACCGTGCTCATCCCAACCTTTTTCAGACTGTGGACCAGTTGGGGTGTGTGGGCTCCATGCATGGGGGTGTGTGGGCACCACCGTGCTCACGGGTGGGCATGTTGAGCTCATGGGTGGGCGTCGGTGCTTTGCAGATGAGTGCATTATGCTCGTGCACATGAGTGCAACACACCCATCTGGAAGTGCAACACGCCCACCGTCCATGCGTGCAGGGTGCCAGAGATCTGTGCCCAGTTCAAGGAAGCTCACGGACCGGCACCGGGCCGTGGACCAGGGGTTGGGGACCCCTGGCCTAAAGAACATGCAAGTGCCTTATCAAAGGAGCAGCGAACAGAAGAACAGCTTTAATTGTGTGGGTTTTTTTAGCTCTCTGTCTTTTCCTCTTTGATGAATAAGGGAGAAAAGAGGTGCCTCCCATCATGGCCGTAGGTCAGGGATTATGCACCAGTTTTTCTGCCTCTAAAGGCCTGCTTGTCGCCTTTTTGCAAATTGTGTTTAACCAAAGTTTTTACAAAACAGAGCTACATGTGATCCAAAACATGACAGATGTCGAACAATCTTGAGAGTATTGCCCCTTTTTAATTCAGCCTTCCCCAGCCCGATACCTGCCAGATGTTTTGGGATTACAGCCTCATCATTTCTAACCATTGTTCAGGCTGGCTGGGGCTGACAGGAATTGTTCTCAGAACATCTGGAGAGCAACCCATTTGAAGGAAGCGGTGTTAATTTGATTTGGAGGCTAATGCTTGTCACATTTTTCCACTCCCAAAACACTGAATTTCAGCCTGGGAATGATTGCTAGCTTGTCTGTTAGTAATTACATGCCATCAAGTCTGCTGGATAGCTCAGTGGTTTAGGTCTCTGGCTATGGAGCCAGAGGTTGGGAGTTCGATTCCCCCACTCTGCCTCTTTGAAAGGGGAGTTCAATTCCCCCACTGTGCCTCTTTCAAAAAGGGCTGGGTTTGATAATCCATTGGGGCCTCTTCTGGCTCTGCCGTTCTACCATGTAAGTCAATTCTGACGTATGATTATCACGTCCAGGGGTTTTAAAGTATAAAGTACTCAGAAGTGCTTTGCCATTCCCTTTCTCTGGGGGCACTCTGAGATGTGTAGCTTGACCAAGACCACACAGGCTGCCCTCGCACAAAGCATGATGGGGAATCAAATCCCTGACTCCTGGCTCTCCAACCGTGTGCTCCATCTCACTGAGCTATCCAGCCAGCTGGCTTGTACTTAAAACATGCCAAATCATTTCCACTGAAGAAGCCCATCTTTCTCAGAGAATGGGAGATCAGACTCTTGATCCAGACACATCAAAGTTATCAAATCCATAGAGAGATCCACTTGGTACTGTAATTGGAAACTGGAAGACTTTGATGTGGAAATTAAACAAGGGTTAGTAGAACTCTTCTATATTTCATGCACCAAACCCTATATATTAGGCTTTTTTTAAAACCAGACAGATGGCTTCTTTGGATGAGTCTCATCCTGCATGGAAAGAAGAACAAAGACAAAAAATCTGACATTGCTTTCATGATTTCATTCTGAGTAGTGTTAGGAATCAACATGAAAGACAGATTTGCAGTGTTAAGGCTAGTCCTAGTACTGAGTTCTAGAAGTGGATGTTTTTAATTCAAAAAAAAACCATTGGCGGAACAACTTGTTTGAATAAAAAAAAGCTGTCTTCTTAACTATGGTACAATATTATGAATTTGGCCGATCTGTGTAAGTGCTTTGTTATATTTTCTAGATTTAGAATTTTAATTTTATTTTGGCTTTGATTTATTTTCAGTATTCAAAACAATAAAGTAAATACCACTAGCACTGGCTTCTCAGTGTATTCTTGAGACATCAAATGGCATGTTTTCCACATGCACAACCCCATATAAAAATATTTATTTTGAAACCCTTAAAATAGTTAGTAGACCAAAATTTGGTTTGTAGATATTTTTTTTCATGCCAGAATGGTTTTATCCAAGTTATTGGAAACTTCCATTATAGAATATAGTTTGGCATTATATCTGAATAAGATCTTCAAAACTTTAGTTTTAGCACTAATGCATTCACATTAAAACATGTAAGAAACTTAGTTTGTTAATGGGAGATCATTAATGGAATGCTAATAAAATGAGTTTGCTGATTGATTCATTAATTAATTTGTTAAATCATTGCACTTTTTTAAAAAAATGAATTTACTAAAATTGCCAGGAACAAATTGAGAAACATAAATTATTACTCAACAATAACACTGTTGGTCTTTCATTATTCCAATAACAGATTAAAAAAACATTGTTGAAAATGTTAATGAAGGGCAACATATTAATTTTAAACTAATTATTTCCTCGCTTTAATCTGAACCCTAAATTAGTGATTTGTCTGAGTTATTGTAGGGTGGTTTTCTTGATGAAGAAGTCATGTTACTGCACTGTGGCAGCTTTAAAACAAACAAGTTTTATTTGATGTAAGCTTTAATGGACTGCACCCTATTTCTTCAGATGTAAGGAGTGTAGCGTCAGTAAGGTAAAGGTTAAGGTTCCCCTTGACAATTTTTGTCCAGTCGTGTTGGACTCTAGGGGGTGGTGCTCATCCCCGTTTCCAAACCATAGACCCAGCGTTTTGTCCGAAGACAATCTTCCGTGGTCACATGGCCAGTGCGACTTAGACACGGAACGCTGTTACCTTCCCACCAAGGTGGTCCCTATTGATCTACTTGCATTTGCATGCTTTCGAACCACTAGGTTGGCGGGAGCTGGGACAAGCGACGGGAGCTCACTCCGTTGTGTGGATTCAATCTTACGATTGCTGGTCTTCTGACCTTGCAGCACAGAGGCTTCCGCGGTTTAACCCGCAGCGCCACCACGCCCCTTGTAGTGTCAGTAGATAGCCCACAGCGCCACCACGTCCCTTGTAGTGTCAGTAGACAGACATTTACAGAAGATGGAAGGTCAATGAAATGCAAGAGGTCAGACATGCTGATGATCAATCAGTACCCATTAAGGACCTCTGACAATCTTTGGGGGTGAAAGGTAGAGATCTAATGGTAGCACTTAACACTCCGTATCTCTGTGGTGAGTGACAGCAACCCTCCAAGCACAGATAATTGATTAACATACCCAACTGGTCAGCAGTCTTGATGTAAGTCCAGCATTATGGAAGCGTACAACCCACAATTGAGTGGGTTTAAAAGCACACCAGTTTTGGAATGTGGTTTGGACAAACTTAAAAAAAGATACAACAATAGGGTAGCAATATATGCAAATCTTCCTAGATCATCTAATTAAGACATGTATTGAGATAAAAAGCCCCTATCTTTATTTAAACCAAAGATAAGGCTGAACTTCCTGATATATTCATGTTCAGCTGTTTCCCTTTGGAATCTGTTTTCTAAGTTAGTTTATTCAAGAGTGTTAACCCTAAATTCAGAAACTGTCCATGAAGACTAAGGTATTTTCACAAAGTGAGTGTTGCCATTTCTTTATTGTGTTTCACCACAACTGGCCCACTTTACAATCAAAAATGCATGAAGATCACTGTGGCTCATTCTTGCAGTGTGAAAACATGATGCATTGTTATTTGTGAATGAAATTGATCTCTCTCTTCAGATTAATAAGTAAGCTTTCTGGGGCTGAAGGCATGACTCTTAAGATGTTTTGTTTTTATAAAGTAAGTGCTAGTGAAAGCTTCAGCATAGGTTACAAAAAAAAACCCTGAAAACATATAAAAGCATCCAGTTTGCTTTCATAGCATCAAGGAAACCTTTGTTGCATTTTGTTACAATGTACTTTAACTCCTTGTTGCACATAAGTGTGAGACAATGGCAACTTTGTAGCAATAACTTACTATTGCCACAACTTGCAAAATCTGAATTGCAATGCTCAGCAACACTGTTGCTGGCATTTTCTTGCTTTTGATACTTTTTACTGTTCATCATGAGAACTGTTGATCAATGAAGGTGTTTTACTGCTTTTTTATTTACAGAAATGCTAGAACTGTTGATCAATGAAGGTGTTTTACTGTTGTTTTTTTATTTACAGAAATGCTGTAGTTTGGTGCACTCTGATGGGAAATAATCCAGAGCATTAGAACTGGTCCTTCCAGTTCTAGTGGCTTCCTCCTGCACATTGCTAATGTGATCTGCTCAGGCCACTGTCATCCACTTAGCTCCACCTTGTGTCTCCCAGGGGTGCAAGTGACAACAGGCACTCATCGTGACTATCTCCATACCTATATGTGTCTCCCAGGGGTGCAAGTGACAACAGACACTCATCATAACTATCCCCATAGCTACGCCCCCAGGGAAAGTCTACAAATTACAATTCACATCAACAAACTGATTCAGTCATTTTTCATCTCTGCCAAGAACACATATTTTGTGAAGCTAATATGCCTCAATTGCCCACTCCAGATAAAATTCTCACCCACAAACA